AAGTATTTATATTTGTGCACAAGCTGTTTAGATTGTTAAAAAGCCTGTGTTTTTAGGGTTGTTAACGAAGTTCGTGTACTCAGACCAGTAATATTTGGGGTCACAAGTTTTTGCCATGGATATTTTGTGGGTCAGAAGATAAAAAGTTTGGGAACCACTGAAGTAGTAGACCTATAGTTGAACCAGTTTTTCCTGCATTTCAGTTTTTCACAGATAGATCCCAATACTGCCTATGGCCATACATCTACAGAAAAAAAAACTAGGTTAGCATAAATATGGGCTGTCTTGTGCACCCACAGGGTATCAGTAAATACCAGTGATAGTGGTGTCTTTCCTGCTCATGCAGAAAATGATCTCGTGTGTACGTAAGTGGCGGGATGACCATGGATCACTTTACACTGTAATGAAAATAAAGTCACTCAATTACAAAAAAATTAATCGTTAATTCAGCAGCTTCAGAGAAAACAACTTTCCCTCAGCATAAAAAAGAGGCAAATGGCCGTCTGTTTAAGGAAACCAGGTTATGACTAAATATAAATATAATGGGGGACATGAGGATGATGAAGCTGACTGGTTGGGTTAAATATTCATAAATGAGGAGCAACTACAACACAAGTACCCCCCACCCCCCACGGTCCTCCTCCCCTGATCATTTCACAGCAAGTCAAAGTTAAAAAAAAAAAAAAAAAACTATTCATAACCTTCCTCCGAGGATTAAATTAAAACAAACATTTTACTTTAATGTCTATATTTGCAGGCTAGCATACATTAGCTCAGCTAAACACCGGATACGAAGACAAGACTTTTAATGCTAATTTTAAAACATTTTTTTTTYCTTTTACTTGACAGACAGCGCCGTCAGAGGTGTCAAGTCCGCCGTTTCATTCAAACGGAAGCGGGGTTAAAACAGCAAAAACGCCGGCTTTCGTGTGAGCTTCAGTGACAAAAAGATAAACTTACGGTTCAGTGAGGAAGAATTACAGCATCCTAGCCACGTAGCAGCACGTTCCAGAGGTTTTGGACTCAGAAGATCCGCGTTTTCGCCGCACAGAGAGAGAGAGAGAGAGAGAGAGAGCTCGAGCGTTCGTGGACGGGGTGGAGCCTGAATTGGGTGGCAGGTGTGAGTGACGCGCGTCTGAGCCAATCAGCGCCCGAAAGTCGACACGAGGAGGTGGATCAGGAAGTTTCGGTGTGACACAAAAAAAGAAAAAAGAAAAGGCAAGCACAGAATTTTGTTTAAGGTGAAAGTTTGCAACGTTGAACTGCAGAGAGGTAAGTTAAGGACATAAATGTTGCGCGAGTGATCCCAGAGGGGGAATGCAGCCAGTTTCTGTTTACACAACAAACATCTTAAAGATTAAAATCAAGATAAACTCGCCTGCTGTAGAGTATTCCAAGTTAATTCTTGTGAAATTACCTATTTGCTTTCTATTTGTTTTATGCAGAATAATGTGAAGTAAGGGGAAATTTTGGTTGCTTCAGACGTCTAATGAAACTGCATTGTTTTGTTGATAAAAATAATAAATAATTAGTAAATATTTTTAGTTTTATATTAGGCTGTTTTTCAAATGGGATATTAGATTCTAGGGGCAAACTTTAAAGCTGCCAGATTTGCACTAAAACTTTCCAAACACCAAACAACAAAGACATACCAATGACGTAATTGAGCAGTGAATACAAACAAACAAACAAAAAATGGATTTTCTTTTGGCTGCTCCCTTTTTCAGGGGTCACCACAGTGAGCAAACCTCAAACAAAAGATTTGGAAATTCCTTGCACAACCTGCTGTGTCCCCTCGAGCTACTGCAGCCCCGGAAAGCATCTGTTCCAAATTCATTTTGTCTAATCCTAGGCTATATGTGCTAACGGTTCCTGAAATTTTAGGTTTCTGACCATTAAACCAACCAGTGTCAAAGACTGCTCTACAGTAATAATACAGAAGTTGCTGTCGTGAAGGAGAAGCTCAGCTGAAAGGGGAACCTTTCAATTTACAGGTCCATCTACGCTCCATCCCTCATCCATGATCATTTAAAGCCAGTCACTGYAAGCACATAAGCAGCTAAAATGAGCTTCATCTGTAAGGTGGCCAGGCTCAGGCTTGGAGATAAGGTGAGGAGCTCTGTCATCTGGGTGCAGCTCAGCGATGCAGAGTTAGCTCAAATGGATTGGGCATCTTATTTGGATGCTTTCTGGGCAAATCCACTGGCTGAAGGTATAATGTATCCTCTCTGGCTTGGGAATGCCTCAGATACCAGAGCATCACTGAGTAGACGGACCCATAGGATTTCCTTTTTCACATATTTCCTTAATGACCAGATGAGTAAGCAGAAACAGATTTATATTTGTTTTCAAATGATTTTGTGAAATACACACGTTARGTTTTTCCTGTAAAGCCGTCCTCCTCTGCTCTCCTTCAGGCTCAGGGTTCCACATTTTCCTGCAATGGATTTGTTTACCCAACAAAACAAATTCCCTCTTTTGCATGGATGGACACAAGCTTGACTTCCTGCCTGGGTTTATTTCTATGGCAACATAAGGAAGGAAAAAACATAGAAAAGTAGAAGAAGGAGGTGAAGAGGGGGAGTTTTTTTTTCTTCATGGGAAATAAGCAATGAGAGGGCAAGGAATGGGTGTGTCCAGAAAATTTTGATTTCAAGAAACTAATAGCTGCCTTTAGAGTGTAAGGAATGTTGGCCGTCAAGACCGGACAGTCAAAAAAAAAAAAAGACCGTCAGCTGCTCACTAATTCACAGGTTTGAGCAATGACAAAGGGATTGTTATCAATTGTGTCACAGGTGACCTTTTCTCCAATGGTAGTCATAATGATACACACCCTATAGCTCAGAGCAAAGAGGCTCTGTTGTTTTCACACTCATGAATTTCCTTAAGGTTTTCAAATCATTCTCAATTTCAAACTGCTCTAGCCAAAAAGCCTTTAGAATGAAAATGGTGCAACAAGATAAAAGCTGTATTAACAACGCTCACACAGAGAAACCCTTGTAGTGTGAGCACATTGTGTATTACAGTGTCATCTGTAGGTTAGCTGTGGTTACTGCACACCGAGTCCTCTGTAATCTTCTTGCTCTTTAAAACAAGGCCTGGTATTGATGTGCTACAGTCAGAGCAGTGTGCGATTTTATTTTCAAGCATGAGGACGGAGGTAAAGGTCCTATAATGTTTTAGACAACCTATGCCAACTTGTGAAAATTGTGTTCAACGCTAAAGATGTCTATGCTGAAAATGTAATTTAAAAAATCTACTTGAAGTCTTATTTGGATGTGTACTTACCGTAATTCTAATAATTAGGCCTAATATATAACCTATATGAGTAACATACTCTCAACAAAGTTTTCATGAGTTGTCTAAAATGTTATAGTGTAACAGGGCCTTAACACAGACCTCTAAATAAACTCTCCTCGTTTATTGATTCTGAACCAGATCAACAAACAACTACTGAAAAAGTTGGGACGTTGTGTGAAAGGTATTTTCAGGAAATTTACACTAATAAAATTGCAAATGCAAAATTCTATGGTAAACTGTTTCTTTACCCTCAATAGACAAGGCTTATTGCCYAATGCAGTGGTGTCAATCTCATCATCACAGAGAGCAATATGAGCATTATGGTGGCCCTCAAATGGCCTTTTGTAATAAACTTGAACGTTTCATGTTTAATTCTGATTAAACACGAAGCATCATGTTCCACATCTCACACGACTGAGCACCGCAAACAATAGTAAGCTATTGTTTGCGGTGCTCAGCCGTGTGCTCTACGTGGTATTCCGTGCATAGAAAAATTTTTTAACACGTCCTCTTATAAACACTGAAAAATACTAAGTAAATTGACTAATTATGAAATAAAAAAAAATACAGAAATATTATCAAAAGTAAAAAGTAAGAGAGTCTTACTAATTGTTGAGTCAGCGAGTACGTAGCTGCTGTCTTAAATTCTGAACTCTCCCACATTCTGACAGGGAATTCCCATTGAAGCAGCGTTCCAGTTTAAATTTACGTCATGAAAATGAGAGAGTCCTACTTCCCAGTTCAACTTTGGTGGAGAAAATGCAGAGAAATGGAAATATTACACAGCAAATTTTACTGGCTTCCAGCTACTTTTGAACCCTGCACATGCCCATCTAGTAAAGGGGATGCTGTGGGTAAAATAATCATCACGCATTATGGGACATGTAGTTTTTTGGCCAGTGCTAGCCTTATGCTTATTTGTAGACATTAATACATCTTTGAACCTCTCATGAGCTACATAAAAATGCAGTGGCGAGACACATTTGGCCCATGAGCCTTGAGTTTGGCATGTGGCCTAATTTATTTTGAGAAAAGGTTGTTTTTTATTTTTTTACTCTTAATTCAATAAAACACTGTGGCACTTTTGAGTTTACTTATCAAAGACTCATGATTATCACACGAAGTGTTTGTTTGATGCCACCCCCTTTTTTGACCTTATAAAAGTCAACCACTGTCACCGAGGACTTACAATATTTGAATTTACATTTAAAAGAAACTCTCTTTCAGATGGGGGAGAGTGTAATGGAAATAATACTTTTAGGTTTAAGCCAGTAATTCATGACATACTTTAATGACCTATGGTTTTCATGACGTACTGTTTATCAGTAGATAGAATGATTAAAGTCAGAACAAGATTTGCTAACAACAGTCTTTCTTAGATATCACTTGTGTTTATCTTTGTGTTTTCCCTTGACCCAGCATTTCCTTAGGATGAAATCTTGCTTTATTAAGATGACATAATGGTGTTTGTTAAACAGTATATATGAGGAATCAACTGCCTCAAAGAAGAAGAAACAGGAGCAGAGAGCAGTTCAATGGCTCTATGTTGTTCYCTGTGTTCCTGTTGTTGCAATAAAACAGAGTACCTTCATTCTTGGACCACATATTTCTGTCTTTGTCAATAAATATTTCCATATCATTTGGCACCCAATGAACAGGATCCACTAGGAGATCGATAGACCAAGGCCACATCGAAGTTGGACTGATATGAGTGAGCAAGGACTGCTCAGGACCATGACTCCAGAAAGAGCTAAAGAACCTTTTTAACAACAGAAATACGCTGGTGACCACCAACCATGATGGATGATCTTGAATAAACAGAGAACATTGGATTTTATTTTTGGCTGTTGAAGAACCTGAGAAAATTTTGAAACATCATCTGCTGAGAGTGAGTACAGAAACGCTTCAAGATGCCTCCTTTCTTTTCCAAAGAGGATTTCTGCCAGCTTCTCCAAAAGGTGACGGTGTTGGAGCTCAAGATTCATCGTCTGGAGGAGATGAATGCTTTAGAGCAGAGGTTCTCAAACTGGGGTCCCAAGACACCCAGGGGACCGTGAGAGGTCGCTTGGGGGTCCTCAAAATATTTCACTAAATTGTTAATTTGGTACTTATTTTTTAAAATGCATGAAGAACAATGAACTAATAAAACAAACATAATAAACTAAAAAATATATATATTCCCATAGCATTTAGGGGTTGAAACGACAATAAATTATCTTTTAAAACAGCATGGGGTTTATGAGGGGGTCCCTGGAATTTTTTTCGCCATTGTAAGGGGTCCCCAGATGCAAAAGGTTTAAGAACCCCTGCTTTAGAGGACTCAACATGTGTTAAAACRAGTGAGAAGGCTGAGATGAGAGATCAACTGGACGAGGAGATGGAAGCTGCTTTTGATAGTAAAGCTGTGTGGAACTCTCTTGGTGCCAGACCAAAAAAATCTCAGGAAGGATTCAGCTCTTAGATGACAACGAATGGCCAGAGTTACAGAGAAATGCTTTTTCTCCACCAGCAAGGAGAATAAAGCAGAAACAGGCTGTAATCAAAACAACTGATAGCCAGAGAAATGAAGACGGAGCAATCTTTCTTCAAAACCGATTCACACCACTGGAAGAAACTGGTCAGTCTGAACAAAGTTCATCCTCTGACCCCAGAGAGGGACCTGAGACCAGATCCAGCTCAAAGCAAGAGCAAGTCCAAAGAGAGACTTTCAAGAATCAAGAAATGCTGATCATCACGGATAAAATGGTGAATGAGATCAGATGCTTCTGGAAAA